AGTTTTGGTTGCCCACCCATATTTTGTTTTTCATATATACTACCACCGACTAAAACTCTGCACCAATAAAAGCTGATCTTTATAGGGAGTGTGTGCCACAGGTTGAATCCAAATAATGAAATGGTGCTACTCTGGTGCACCCTACAGAACATATGCAGCTGGCCAATCTGTGCCTTGGGGTGGTGCTACATTTAGTATTGTTGCTGTTGTTGGCATCTGTCTGTCTTGGGAGACAATGGAGGCGTGGGCCTTTGGGGATCTGGAAAGAAGGCAGCAGCTGCACAGAATGCGAAAGGTAAGTCAGGGTACAGGGTACAACTTTTATGCTGTAACCAGGTCTATAGGCCAGGGCAAGGCAGGTTATTGGTCCACCTTACCCAGTAGTGTCACCTGCTTTGGCTGCCAATGACTCCACAGGGTTGCCTGTGGTGACGGATCTTTACCAATGCCTGCTACCCGACTCCTTTTAACTGGAGACACCAGCAACTAAACTTGGGATCTTCTGAATGTTAAGCATGTTCTCTGCAACTGAGGGCTCAGTTTCGCACACTGCTTTCCAGGTACTGGTCTGCACTTTAAAGCTCCGTGTCTGAGTTTTCGTTTTTGTCCTGGCACTTTCCCTGGGAAAAACCATGTTTTACCACTGAATCAGAGCAAATGGCAATCCGTGGAAAACCAGATTGCCAGAGGCTCCAATTGAGTGGTAAAATAAAGGTTTCCCCGGGGAAAGTGCCGGAATAAAAACAAAATCCACTCAGACATGGAGCTTTAAAGCCCAGGTCTGTGGCTAGAAATGCAGCACAAAAGGATGAGCCCTCAGTCAGTTTGACCCTGAATACTTCCTGTATATCACACCTACAGGCTCTTCTGCTCCTATCCAGGCATGTCATAACACTGCTCCCCACCCCAGCTTCCTATCGCACCTGTGACACACAGTGGCTGCCCATTATACTCCAGACCATCTCAATTAAGGTTCACCCTCTATAATTGGACATATTTTGTGTCTGGCTACAGGAAGCTCTGCTTTATTCTGATGCAGATGTTCCATGTGCATTAAGAGAACCAGCAATTCTATATCCAGCATTACACAGCCACAGAAATAAACTGCACAGAAGGTGATACCCAATGTTGGTCTGAGTAGATCCACCAAAATCCATTGTTAGGAACTCAGATATACAAGCTAATCACCAAACGGCACCTTGAACCTGCGTTACGTTTGCCACAACAGAATGTCTAGATGCCTTTTTATTTTATTTTTTGCGAGGAGCTTTATTTATCATGATCATCATTTCAATACCGCTTTATATTTTGAAGAAAAAATCTCAAAGCAGTTTACAACACATTAAAACATCAAATAAAATAATCCAGGATAAAACAAATTCAAGCTTCAAGGAAAATATTTCAAAGCCTTCTCTAAGTGACATTTTGCTTTCCCCTTATTTATTTGCCTACTAAATTTATATAGCTGTTCTATAGCAGAAGTACTCTAGGAAGCCAGGGTGGTGTAGTGGTTAAGAGTGTTGGACTATGACCTGGAAGGGCAGGGTTCAAATCCCCCCTCAGTCATGAAGCTCACTGGGTGACCTTGGGCCAGTCACAGTCTCTGAACCTGCCTCACAGGGTCGTTGCAGGGATTAACTGAGGAGGGAGGTGAACCATGTACTCCTTGGAGGAAAAGGTGGGATATAAATGCAATAAATAAGCTCTTCTCCTTACCTGCTGGAGGGGCCAGCCAGATGGAGATGACATTCGCCAACCTGGCATCCAGAGATCTCCATGTGGTCACAACTGGACCCGCACCAGTTGCAAAACACGCCTGGGGTATTTTGTGCACTGTCAAAATCCACAGACTTGAGTAACTTAAACCCACTGATCTCAATGGGACGACTGAGAGTATGACTTAGTCTACTTATCCCCAGCTTCTAAACAGCCAAGCAAACAGACAACTGAAAAATGGTACACCAGTAAACTACTGGACCCCCCAGTGACTAAAGGGAGACACAAAGTCCGGAAAACTAAAGAGAGTCATGATGGGTGAGATATGTAAGTGACTGCAACGCAAATGTCTACGCTGGAGGTGAGTTAGGACTGGACAAGAAAGGTCTGAAGGCGTGTAGAATCAGAAGTACAAAAGAGATGCTAGCTGTCCAAACAAACAAAGAGTCATGCTCAGGATTGGGGAAGGCAGGTTCTAATGTGGTAGTTACATTATTTGAAAAGCCGTCCTGCAAAAGGGGAGGGGGGTGTTAGGTTAATGCAGTGCTTACTCGAAAAAACTCAAGCATGTACAGAATCCTACTCCTAGCAGGTATTTCTCAGAATCCCTCTGTATCAGCTACTTACTCAAGAGGGAACTAGCACACTCTGCACATGCTCAAAGGAGCACTTATTACTTTGCATGTTGAAGGCCTGCACCAGAGTGGCGAGGGAGGGGGGGCTAGTTCCAGGGCTAAGCTGCTTTTCATTAGCCCTGGTTCAAAATCAAGCCCAGAAAGTGGATGCCATCCAGAGAGACTTGTCAAAATGGAGAACTGCAAAGGAGAAACTGCTTAGTTCTGAATCTACGCAGTAATGACAGATTGCTCAATTATGGCTCAGTCACAAGATGCACTGAAGTTTGTCATTAGTTGTGCCAACGGTTGTGTCTAACCACTGGTCCACAGTGCCTACACATTACAGAAGTCACTAATTCCTCTTCAGTGAAGAGATAGCCATGAATAACATCTAGGGAGTCTAAACCACAAAATGACTTCAAAATGTTACATGTAAACAGTACAGAGAAGACCACCAGCATGGCACACGCATTTTAAATGTAGCAGCCGAAGGGCCCCAAAATGGAACTCTCAACACACACACCCCAAAAAAACCCCAGAGCCCCAAAGTTATGACTTGCACAACAGAACTTAGTGAGAAATCCCAGAAAACAAGTCTATTTTGAAGGAAGGCTTAAAAAAAAAGAAACTAATGTCATGCCAACCCCTTCAAGAATGACAAACTCTCTCTCTCTCTCTCTCTCTCTCTCTCTCTCACACACACACACACATATGTGTGAAAAATGTGATGCAGAGGGTTTGGGGTTGGCAAAGCTAAGTTAATTCGTTATCTGTCATCATTTTTTGCGGGGAGGGGGGGAGATGAAGCCACAGAAACCTCGTTTGCAGCTACCACTTCAGCTAAAAGCATGGCAGGCAACCTCTTTGCCTCTTCTCTGTCCCATCATGCTTAAATTCCCCATGTCAGCAGAGTAAATAAGCACATTCCTAAGCCACATTGGTGATCCACGGCTTTTTCTTTTTTTTGCAACTAACTAGCCACTCCCCAAGCACCACCTTCCTGTCTTCCTGCCCTGATCCCCCAGGGGAAAGCACCCCGTCCTTGTTTTTTTTGTTCTTCCAAACTGGCTTGAGAACATGGTACCGCTCTCAACTCTGCCTTGTTGTCTTCAGTATCTGCTATGTCATGCACTCAGGGCGCAGTGCAGCCTCTCCTTTTGGCTTTGGAGGGGAATTGAGGGGAGTGGGGGTGGCAGGGAAGACTGATTTAGCAGATGCTTTTTACAGCCAAGATTCCATCACATTTAAATTGCCTGGATGTCTCCAGTTTAACCGACTGTATCAGAGGGCATTCAGCTACATCTTCAGGACAGTCAATTAAATATGAATACTTGACCGATTTGTCATTTACACACACAGCACAGTGTCATTTCACAGATGGATTTTCAACTCCCCATTTTATAGCTCTCTCGCCAGCAGAGGTAGGATCTTTAAGCGAAAATATCCTAAGAAGATGACAATGGAGCAGAAGAGGCTGAAGGAAACGCAGAGGCACTGCAAACCTCAGAGCAAATGATTTATTTAATGAAACAGGAAAGGAAATGGAAGAAGACTTCAATATGAAGCAACTACTTCCACTACTTGGCATTCCCTGGTCTGGATGTGCAGTTTTTGGAAAAAGACAACTAGTGAATGTGAGGATCTGGAGAAAACATGACTCTATTGAGCACAGCTTTGCTCCAATTGTGTTTTAACACTGCACCCTGGCTGTGTGTGTGTGTGTGTGTGGTGACATTCCTGTGTTACCTCCATTCAACACTGTGAAGTGAATTCATTAATATATCTCACAGAAGCGGGTCTTAATTCTATAGCCTTGTCCCACCACAACCCCCTTAAAAATAATACAAAACTCCAATCCCTGTATTAGCATATATATTCATGCACAGACATCCATTGTCTCCTGAAAAGTAATACATACAACAGGCAGAATTTTGCAGGCATTGAGGGTGGGGGGCAGGCTAGGCTAGTGATGAATGCCAAATATGCAACACCCCCTTCCGCACAGCCCCTGCTTTTTAAAAAATGCACCTTTGTTCTAAACTGCAAACAATATGCTGATTTCTTACGAGCAGCGATCTCCCCCACCCGGCCACCCACCCCTTGCCGTTTTGGGAAGAGCTACCCTTACTGCAAAAAGGGGGGAGGGTGTTATTGTTTATACTGAGGAAGATAACTGCAAGCAGACAACGTAATAAGGACTGGCATTCATTCATTTAAACAGAACTCAAGAGAAGACAGAAGGCATGGAAGAGAGGAAAAGGAGGGAGAAAAGGTTTTAAACTCACCTTCAAGGGCAAAAATAGGGGCGAAACCTACGAGTATGTGCAAAAATCCTAGCAAAAGCAGCAAGGGCCCCATCATCACTTCTAGCCTGTGGGCCAGCATGCTTGTGCAAAAAATATATTAAAAAATAAGATCAGCGCTCTAGACAGTCCACAGAAGACTCGCAGCTATAACCGCTTTCTTTTCTTCTTGGGTCTCCTTCTTCACCCTGTCTTTCCAGGGGTCTTCAATTCTTTCCACATCCACCGAAGGAAGAGCGGGGGGGGGGGTCGCAAGGAAAAGCCCCTCTCCCTCCTCCTCTCTCCCTCCCAGCCCAGGAGATGAGAGAGCCCAGCAGCGGCAAAGGCTGGGGAGGGGAGAGAGGAGGGGGTTCAGCCCTCCTTGGCAAGAAAGGGAGGTTGCATGCAGGAAAAAGGAAGGAGGAGGGGGCAATCGGCAACCCACCGCCCCCGGTGCACTAGATGCGAGGCAAGGTAATGGCAACGACCATCGGAGGCTCCCAGGAATGATGCATGGAGGGAAAGAGGCAGGAATGAGCGGGGAGGGCGAGAAGAAAGGAGGGAAAAAGAGGGGTCCTTCTGGATCCAGAGGCAAACGGAGAGCGGCAGCTCCTTCCCCGCTTCCGAGCCCCTCCTGGGTGGTGCGGGAGGGAGGATGCACACACTGAAGCCCGGGGGCGCCCCGCTTGCGCTTTATGCACGAGCTGCTCCAGCGCCTACTGCCGCCGCCGCCGCCGGACGCAGGAAAAGCAGCCCTGCCCGTTGCCCGCTGCCCGCTGCCCGCCCGCCTGGCGCACCAGGAGCCTCCGCCGCCTGATGGAGCTCGCGCCGCCTTCGGCCTGCCTGACGTCATGGGCTCCCATGGAAAGGCGGGCGGGCGGGGGGGGGCGGCAAGCGGGGACTACGCGGCAGCGGCCCGGAGGCGCATGCGCTTCCCAGTGCTTGCTCCTGGAACGGGAGAAACGGGGGTTGCTGACTCTCCTGCTTCCTTTCCTAATCCCCAGAGCAGCCATCATCCTATGGCGAGGGGCAGCGGAAGCAGAAGGGGGCTGGAGGATGCACGTGGGGACGAAGCAAGTTTCTCGCAAAGGATGCCCCAAGGGCGGCCTCGGATTTACTTGAAGGAGCAAAGGTGCTCCGGGCGCGGAAATGCTGCGCGTCTTAACGGCAGGAGCACAAAGGCGGACAGGCATCGCAGCCCGCCAGATTCTTCTTGCAATGAATGGCTGCCCGCTCGCGGCGTTGCGCGGGGATGCAGCCCCTCCTCCCGCCCACTCGCACGTTTCAAAGCAGGATACCTGCCTGCGTGTCTTGGGTTGAGGAAGATACGCTTTCTAGCCCAATCTCGCCCCATCGCAGCCTCCTGACAAAAAGGGATGGGCGGATGCAAGAGTCCTCGTTGCAGGAGGCCACTTCTGGCAACAAGAAGGCACGTGCATGCAATTTCAATTCTCAGCCAAACCCCTGGAGCAAATGTGGCCAAAGGACTACAGAGGAAGAGGCCTTCTGTGAGGCATCCGAGGTGCCCATTTCTGAGACAGTGGGAGGTTGCTTCGGTAAATAAACACTGCCGGTACTCTATTGTCTCTGTCTCTCAAAAGGTGTTCCCTTGTAAGAGCGCCCTCCTAATGGATAGCTCCTTTTGAAAGTGCCAGAGCTCCATCTTAAACAGCTACACACCATGCACCTGGGAGCTGGGAATTGTAGCTTTATGAGAGGTAAACTACAGTTCCCAGGATTTTTTACTGTGCTGTCCAGTGAAACAATGTGACACATTTTAACCACTTCCAAATAATGTATGTTTTGTTTGTTTGTTTCTTAAAAGGTCTGTAATCATATATCAAAGACCAATCACGTCCAGAATAGTCTACCTACCTAATTCCATTGAATCTTCCAAGGGTCCCAAGCATCATCTAGTCCACCCCCTGCAATGCAGGAATCTCAGTTAAAGCATCCATGACAGGTGGCCATCCAACCTCTGCTTAAAAATTCATTTTGTTAGCTTGGACCCAGGTCTCCATTCTGTTAAGGTCATTTTTAATTCTGATTTTGTCTTCTGCAGCATTAGCTACCCCCCATTCCCTGTTTGGTGTCATCTGCAAATTGGATGAGCATCCCCTCAATTCCTTCATCCAAGATGTTGAACAACAATGGGCCAAGGCAGAATCCTGCGGCACCCCACTTGTCACTTTTTTCCAGGATGATGAGGCACCATTAAGGAGTACTCTTTGGGTTTGGTCAGTCAACCAGCTGCAAATCCACCTAATAGTTCAACCCACTTTTTACCAGCTTCTTCACAAGAATATAATGGGGGGCTTTGTCAAAAGCAGGTTTACCTCGCCTGGGCCAGTTTACTCCAGTGAAGATCCCTCTGTGGGCCGGACTGTGTGCGCGCATGAGTGCGTGCACCCATGATTTCCGGCTTCTGCGTCTGCACAGACCCAATTTCTGGCACATGTATCTGTGCAGACGCGATTTCCAGCACAGCAGAAGTGAGTCCTCATGCCATGCTGTGCCATTTTAGCGCAGCACATGGGGACTCAGTTCGGGGGTGGCTCGTGGGCCGCATAAATGACCCCTGTGGGCCGCTTGTGGCCCATGGGCCTACCTCTGGTCAAAAGCCTTACTGAAATCAAGATACACTATGTCTACAGTATTCCCCTGATCCACCAAGCTGGTAACTCCATCAAAATTCATCTGATATTACGGTACTTGTTTTTTGAGAAACCCATGCTGGGTCTTAGTAATCACAACATCCTTTTCCAAGTGCTCACTGACTGACTGTTGAATTATCTGTTCCAGGACTTTTCCTGGTATCAACATCAAGCTCCCCGATTGGTAGTTACCTCTGTCTTCTTTTTTCCTCCTTTTGAAGATGAGGACATTTGCCCACCTCCAGTCTGCAGGGACCTCACTCATTCTCCAATAATTCTCAAAGATCATAGACAAAGGCTCTGAGATTACATCTACAAGCTCCTTTTGTACCCTTTCCAAACCGAGCCACAGCTCCTCCTCAGGGTGCAGCCTCAGTTTTTTTGGCCCTCATCCAGCCTATTACTGTCTGCAGACAATGGTCAGGCACCTGCACAGCCTCGCTTGATACAGATGACAAGGATGACTAGTGACAGATGTCAACCGCAATTGGTGACACCCTAATATAGACTTCTCAGGCCTTCTCATTTGCAATTAGCACATATTTTTTGTGTTTTTAAACTCTTGCACCAGTTTTGTTTCCCTGGTTGATTTCATGTAGATTTTAAACTAAACATATCTGGTTATTGCTGGTTGTGTATGTTATAGGGACTCTCATTGGATATTGTACTCTGCATTATATCAAATGAGACCATTTGTTCATCGAGCTCAGTATTGGCTTTTTCTTTTTGAATGATCAGGAAATGGAGAAGAGGGGTGTCAAGCCTCAGAGACACAACCATGGCTAAATACAATTCTGTGCTGTTTCTCCCCACAGAAACATGCATCAGATGACAGGAACATCCAGTTAAGTATGGGAAGTGAGGACTGAGGCATGTAGGCTGAAGGCAGAGACTTGCCATCTTCCTTTTGACCATTATGGTCAATTCAAACCATGTAGCAAAGAAGGAGTCTCATCTGCTTTGTTCCCTAACAACCCACAATCGCTGGGACAGTTTTTCCAACAATGCACACTGCCACACATTTGCATACTGCCTGTACATGGAGACACCTTCCAAAGTTTTCCACTCTGGCAATAACCACCCATGCAGATATCGTTATCAGATCCCTAATAATGAGACAATCCCTTATCCGGGGTCCCACCAACAACCTGCTTGGTGATGCCTTCTGTAGCTCAGGATTATTTACACCAGTGTTCTTCATCCTTGGGTCCCCAGATGTGGGTGGACTACAATTCCCATCATCTACAGCCAACTTAGCCCAGTGGTCAAGGATGATGGGAGTTGTAGTCCACCCACATCTGGGGACCCAAGTTTGAAGAACACTAATCTACACTGACTGGCAGCAGTTATCTCGTGTTTCAGTCAGATCTCGCCCTGCCCTACCCTGAAATGCCAGGGGTTGAACCTGCGGCCCTTTTCATGCAAAGAAGACCTGCAGCCCTTCCACCTCACATGCCTGCAGGGACTGGCTGCTGGTGCCTTGGACCAGTTGCTCCTCTTGGCTGTCTCTGCTCATTCACCTGACTGCTCTGAGCGTCCACAAGAGAGAGGAGAGGAAGCAGTATCTCGCTCTCCCTGGGTGGAGAGGGCAAATGGGAATTGGTGGTTGTGGTGAGGCAGCGGTGGAGCAACTCAGAGGCAGGAGCCTACAGGTCTCATCTTGTCAAGTGCGTACCCCCACATCTGCCTGGAACAAGCAATGGAATCAGCACCAAATGTCTCTAGGCCAGCCTTGGCCAACACGGTGCCCTACAGATGTTTTCGACTGCAATTCCCATCAAACTCAGCCAGCACTCTAAGGCTGGTGGGAATTGTAGTTCGAAACAACTGGAGGGCACCCAGTTGGTCAAGGCTGGCCTAAGGTATGAGCTATAGGCATATGGATTTCCTTATGTAAATGGAGTCAGTTTTTGGTTTCTTTGCCAAGCTACACAGCTCAGCCTCTGAAGGAGTTGATATGCCAAGAACAGAGAGATCCATGTGTTGTCAAACTCTCCCCAAGTCAAGCTAAATTTGAACCTTTTATAGAGTCGGTGACGACTGGACCTAATGGTCAGGGGTCCCTTTACCTTTACAGCAAGATGAAAACAGATCCCTTGCTGAAAAACAAGAGTGGGAAAACAGCGCCTAGCAATCCCATGAGCCCTTACAATGACTGTTGATGCCTGCGGAGAATTGGAGTTTGAGAAAGGTTTGGAGGGAGCACTTGTGGTAGAGTTTGCCACCTTTCCTGCTGGCCTGGTAAGTGCTGCTGGTTTTTTCAAGGTTTTCCAAAGGTTTAGAGGGTGTTTGCTGGGCTTTTCAATGGTGTTTCAAATATACACAGTTTCACTGACACATGCGGTGCCTCGGAATGTAACCCCCACGTAGGTTGGGAGTTGCCTGTAATCATCAGCATGTAAATAAATAACGGGGGTTTTTAAGACTAGATAAATGAGATGATTTGGACATGTACAGGTTCACATTTGTTGGTTTCCTCACGTTTCCAGTTTATTTTCCTTAATTATGCCTCTCAAATCTAATAACCTGTCCCTATGAACTGAGGGCAGATCTCATGTTTAAAGCAGAATGGTATAAACATTAAGTTCTTGGTTCCTCAAGAACTGCCCATGAACTCCATAGCAGCTTTCTGGAAGCTTTCCAGGATACCCTTTGAAAATTTCCTCCAGTGAATTATAAATATAATAAATGTAATAAATAAAAAACCAACAAACTCCCTGACCCTACTAGAAGTTATAAATACAATGCGAAGGAGGAGGAAAGCCGAGGTTTCTGTGTCTTTCTTAAGAGAGTGCCTCACTTCGTTCCAGACTACTAGAACCTCAATTAATTCAATGGATGCTTTCGCCGCCACCCCTACAATAACTGTTACTTCATTTTTGCTTTAAGTCAGACATTTGTAAGAGATGGAGAGAGATATGTGTCTGGTGTTAGATAACAAGGGAGGGAGGGAGAGATGTTTCTATTAACCCAGTGATATGGATTCTGCTCTGAGGTGAGGATGCAATATTTTTCTGTCCAAAATCTTGGAACACTTCACCCCCTCCATTGCCTTTTGGGGGGGGTGTAACTAGATAGATCTATTTGCTCCACCCACATGTCACCTCTTCTGATTACAGGCATTTTGTTTAATAAAGAAGGACCAGGCCTGCAAACTGATCTGAGAATCCAATTCACAGCCATAGCCAGAGGCAAGTATGTAGGCAAATGCAGGCTCCAACCTCCCTATACTCATCAGTAGGTGGACTGTTGCGCTCTGCTTCTGAAACAGTTTGAGAAAAAGCAGTCCTATAGAGAGTGAAGTCTTGCCCTCTTTTCAGCTGCTCTGAAGACCTCAGCACTTGTGGACTCTGGAAAGATCGATCAACCAGGCAGGAAAGGATGACAGACCCTCCAAGTGTCCCTTTTTTCCAGGGACATTCCTGATTTAGAGAAGCCATCCCAGTTTCTGATTTGATCCTGGAAAGTCCCACTTTTCCTTAGGATGTCCCTTTTTCATTGGAGAAATGTTGGAGGATATGGAGTTATCCGACTCTCGAGCTGTCTGAAGGCAATCCTGCATAGGGAAGGTTTTTTTTAATGTTTAATGCTCTTTTATGTGTATATAAATGTTGGAAGCTGCCCAGCGTGGCTGGGTCAACCCAGTAGGATGTGTGGGGTACAAATAGTCAAACTATCACTATGGAATGGGACGTCCCTATTTTCATCAGCGAAATCTTGGAGGGTATGGGATGACAACCAAGTCAGCCATAGTCCTCAGCCTTGCTGAATGTGTGATGCCCTCCAGACGTCGCTGGACTCCAACTCCCACTGCCAACGTGGCTGATGGTCAGGGATGGTGGCAGTTTCAGTCCAACAACATTTTGAGGACACCACATTGGCTTCCTCTGTTCCAGGCCAAAACTAGAATGAATGGGTAAATTCTCCAGAAAATTCTGGACACTCTTTGAGTCCATATATTAAAAACAGACCATCGTAACTGCGCTGACACCCCTGCATAGGCATTGAGTCGCATCAGTCTGTGCTGTGCTCCTAGAAAACTATGCAGAATATCCCTTGCCACCCTGCAGATGTGAATCTGACTCGTAGGATCAGCAGATATATAAGTTGTAGCTCTTTTCCTTTCAGCAGTTACTGTGTTGAACATCAAAATAAGTGAAAGCCTAATATGGGAGTTTAAAGCAAGCTTTAAAAAGATTATTGGCTCTTCTTTAAAATGCCAGATTGGCTACCAATTAATTGCCAAACTAAATTCAAGGTGCTGTTTTTTGGTGTTATAAAGCCCTGTGCAGGTAAGGTCCAGGATACTTGAAAGATAATCTCACCCCTTATATACGCAATAACGGCACTCTACAGGTGAGGGCCTCCTGCAGATACCATTTCATCAGAAGGTCTATTCTGCACAATACAGGAATCAGGCCTTTAGTGTTGTGGCACCTGCCCTATGAGATGCCCTCCCCTTGAATATGAGACAGGCGCCATCTCTACTGGCTTTTTGGCACCTGATAAATACCTTCCTCTTCCAACCAGCCTTTTAAGCTGAGATCTTTTTCTGTCTGCATTAGTATTGGAATTGCTTTTATTGATTTATCACTGGTTCTTTGCCATCCTGGGCACCTTTGGGAGGAAGGGAGGGATAGGAATATAATAAAATAAATAATAAAGAGTAGGAGATGCAAGCATCACAATGAGACAGGAAATTAAGTGCATCAGGACAGTTCTGTTCTAATTAAATAGTTACTTCCCATTAAGTCTTTAAATTAAAAACTGAATTGCTATTAGTTGTTTGAGATACGTTTTGGATCAGGCAACTATTTTAAATGTGCACAAATGCATACGAAGCTGAATAAATAAGAGTTGGGGATTATTTACAGGCATGCATACATTTGAAATGTTCAGGCACACTAAGCGACTGTGTTCACTGCAGATATTGAAAGAGTGTCATGTCATTTTCTACAGCACCAACTTGTGATGGTGGTTATGGGCTTGATGACATCACAGCTTCTCCTAGGCAAAAAGGAAATCCTGGAGCAGAAGGGAGGCTGCGGAAGAAGGCAAATTGTGAATAAGAGGCTGATTAACTCTGAGACGCAAACAGCATCAAGGGGTGATTACTTCTCTGGGGATTATAAAATGCCAGATGTTTGAAATTGAGGCCAGATGTTCATTCTAGGTATGCGCTAGCATCAACAAGAGGAAAGAGAGCCACATGCTCAGAAATACCACAGAGAGCACAAATAGCTAACGGCTTGGAAGGGCTCTCGTTGTCTAGAAGCATATTGCACAGGATGACTCACAAGCCAGAGCTGCCTCCCTGTGCTGAGAGGAGAGTGGGATGTAGGTAACCATAGTACAATGCCAGGCAATGCTTCTCGGCATGAGAGGGAGCCTAACTAGAACACAATAGAATCTGGATTTATTAAGATACCTTCCCTACTGTGAACAGTGGGGGGTGGAGAGCTGTACAGTTGGCAAAGCTGCAGGTTGTTGCTGTTGTTTTAAAAAGCATCTTTTACTTTCCATTACCCCTTGCTCATCTGCCTACACAGCTTGAGGCCAACCAGGAACTTATATACCTCGAGCATAATAGCCAAGATCTTTAGCTACATAAGCCACAAAAGTTTGAATGGGGGATGGGAGGGGGTGGGAGGGAAATGCTGAAAGGGATTGATCCTTAGGGATTGATCCTCTTTGGACTTTGACTAGTTGTTTTTGCTGTATTTTTTTTTTAATGGCAAAGACCAAAGAAGATGAAGAAGGGGCAGAAGAAGGAGACAAGTCCTCAGGTGAAGCCTGACCTCAGGCACTTGGTGGCCTCAACTGCCACCTGCAGTATGGGGAGAATATTGACCTGCATTACAGAGTTGTCCTAAGATTTACTGCACAACTGTATGCAAAGCTCTTTGAGCACTCGCAGACATGATTTAACTAACATTATTATTCATATTTCCATCACTGGCATCATCCATACTGAAAACAAATTCTTTTTTCCGGAGGGGTAGCAATCTTTGTCTCTTGCAGCAAAGGCAACCAAGACTCTTAAAGTCTAACACACTTTATTACGCCAAAGCCTTTGTGAACTACAGTCCGTGCCATGAGATGCACAAAGTGCTGCATGTGTGTGAGAAGGCTCTAAAATGCAGAGAAGTACAAACACTATTAGTGCTGCCATACATCCGGATTTTCCCAGACATTGCATGATTTCAAAGGTAGAATTGATGTCTGGAGGGAATTTCTCAAAGGCGGGGCTTTGTCCTGGATCTTAAGCAAGTCAATCAAAAAATCGTGGTTTTCTGGCGTTTTTGTAAAAAAAAATCTCAACAACTTTTAGGGTGTCCTGGTTTTTAATTTTTGAAAGTAAAAAATAGGCAACCCTATTTAACAGTGGCCATTCACAAAAACAAAAACTAGTTCCATTGATAACACAGGCATCCTGGAACTGCTAAGCCAATTACAACATATGGTATGATTTTAAAAAAATGGTGCCGATTCAATCCACAAGTGATAGCACCAAATCTCTTGATGAATTGCTGAGCTATCTCCCTTTGAACTTCCTTTGTCCCAGTATGGTCACCTGAAGGTCGGTTACAGAGTGTCCTAGGAGGCTGCAATGTTTGTCCACAGACTTTGGCATATTGCCATATCTGATGTTAGATTTACATTCTTTTGCGCAGAGGCTGCCTGTTTGCCCCACGTAGAACTGCAGAAGGGCATTGCTCACAGACATCACGTTGGTAGGTGAATGAACCCCTACTGTTGTCATTGGCATCATTAGGTCCTGTAATAGTGCTGCCAGAGTAGGCATGGAGACAGAGTTGACAAATCCCCACTTCCCAAAGGAGAAGACTTCTCTGCAAGCCAAATATAGTCCATGATGTTAATGTTCACCACACGTCCCTCAGGCACCTTGGCTGTAGAAGAGCTGTCCCCTCTAGCTGAAGAATTCTCTCAGCACTCAAGGCGATAGCAGGCCAGAAGCCTCTGTGATGGTGCAGTAGCCTCTGGGACACTCTCACCTTTAGCAGTGAAAGGAATGCTAGGCGACCATTCCTATTACAAAGGATCCTTCTTTAGGCCAGGCAGTCTGATTTGAAAGAGATGCCAGTTCATTTCTGACGGATCCTTTTTGGTAACCATCTTACCCTGTCCTCTTTACTCATGATTCACTAGGAAACTTATCTCAATTTTTACATTTCCAGCTTCTATAATGTGAGCATAAAATCAGCAATGACTGGCTTTTATTTAGATAGTTGTAAATTGGCTTTTATTTAGATAGTTGTAAATTGGCTTTTATTTAGATAGTTGTAAATTGCAATTTCATGAAGAAACACACACACACACACTCAAAACAAGGCAGTGTTAACCATACAAAAGCTACAATTACGTAATAAAACCATCAATAAAAACATCATTCAAGAAATCCATAATTACTGGCCTGTTAAAATAAAATTCACATTTCAAAAGCCAGTTTCTCTTCTGCTTTTTATCCCAAGGTTACCAAATTCTGACATGACACCAAAAGTACAAAAAGTGTCCCCCTACAAATCTCCATAATGCTGGCGTTTAGAAGAAGCTGATATAGAGGAGATGTAGCTGTTCTGATATCTGCAAATGAGAGAGATCACTGGCAAGGGAGTCCCTTTTAATAGGACAATTTCTGATGGTGAAAATGTCGGCAGGAGAGAGAGAGAGGCAGCTCTGCCCCACCCTACATTTTAACTCTGCTATGATAGAAGATCAGGTTATTTCCAAATGGAAGCAAACAATAATAAATTGTGCTCATTCACTCACAGTGTTTAATGGGACATTGCTCCCAGGTAAATGTGCAGAAAATTGCAGTTGTGATGTAGGCAGCCCAGTCATAAGCCATTCAAAATGCAAAGGACATACACATACCAATCATATGGGATGTGTTATTATGCCTGACACAATGCAGCAAATGTACCCATGGTAACAAAAAGGATGTAAACCAAGGAGCCCTTTAGATCTCAAAATTAACTAGCACAAATTTTTATTAGGGTCAAGAGCTGTTTGCCACCTGAGGATAAGCTTTCCCCTTCAACTAGAGCCATTCAGTTTCAGGGTTCCTGTCAGTACCAAAATCCAGACAAACATATATAAAAATTCTGCTAGTATAAGGCATCAAACCATACTTATAGAACATGCTAACAGAATCTTACATCTCCCTCTCCCTTCAAGGAGCTCAGTGAAACCCTGGATTATGGAGAGAATGCCAAGGAAACCTTAATAAATCCCAAAATCCTCACCTCCCATAATTTTAGTGCCCCCCTAAAAAACACCTTTTGTACTAGTCCCACTTGTTAAGGGGAGCCACCCTTGGGGCCAGTCCCAGCATAAATCAGAGTGAAGTGGCTGCCTCAGGCAGTAGCTGTTTGGATGGGGGGGGCTCTCAGGTATAGTGGAGGGCACTGCCTGGTCGCCTCTT